ACTTCTGGCCTCCAGAACTGTGTCTCTGTTTGCACCATGCCACCTGCAGTATTTAGTTATGGCAGCCCGAGCAGACTGAGACACCATCCCAACCCCAGACCTGCTGACAGCAAATCCACGTCCCAACAAGAGCCCAGGTACCACACCAACGGGGAAGCCATGACTAAGAGAGGCCTTAGCCAAAGGGAGTGGGTGGTAGAGGGAAGATGTGAGCCCAGGTCCCCTGTAGCTCAGGCCAGGGGCAGTGGAGGCCGGGAAGGGCTTCTGGAGAGATGGACCCCCCCAGCAACATGAAGGTCAGACCACGGACACCGCGGGCTCCAGTCCGCTCCCATGTTCAAGGAAGAAGAGTCAGAAAACTGTCAGCGGCACCGAGCCAGCTCCGAGTAAGCAGGGTCGGCGGGCCGGGAGGCACGCATCCTGCTGGCCGGCGGGAACGGAGGCAGGCGCTCTGCAGTAATGAGCGATGTGATGAGGCAGAGAGACCAGCCGGGGAAAGAGGCAAGGGAGCCGAGCGGCCCATTTGCCGTAATGAATTCGGCTGGACCAGAGAAGTCCAGAACCTCAACACTCACCACGTGGCTAAGCTTAGGGGATCGTAAACCTGGAGGCCTGGGACGTGGCTCAGAAGGTCTGTGATGCAGCCACTCTTCAGCGGGTCTCCTGAAGCCGGCCCCTGCGGCCAGGCCCCACGGTGGGCTTGTGCCCGGCAGGCCTCCACTCTGTTCTCGCGAGAAACCTATCCCCTCCCTTCAAACGCTGACTTGCTTTGACCCAACAAGCTGAGTTCTGGGACCCAAGCTTAAGGAAATAAACCCCCGATGTGGAAAACTCTAGATGCACAAATATGCATCTTACAGAGGAATGAATAATAATAACCAGACCCGGACGGTTGTGTGGAGGTCCTGACGAGTGAGGAACGCCCGAGACACTGCCGACGGAGGAGCAGTTGTGCAAAGAGGCATTCTCCGAGCACGTGGTGCCCACGAGGATGCCAAAACAGGTGGCGGCACACGGGCACCCACCTTCTCAGCCCCAACAAGAGAAGCAGTCCTGACCATCAACAGGTGGCAGATGTCACAGCCAGATGTATCCACAGCAGGGGCTGGCCGGGTCCTACATATTTTTGGCTCTGCAGGCCATGTGGTCTCTGTGGCAACTGCTCAGCTCTGCCACTGCAGACCAGAAGCAGCCATGGAAAATACACTAATGAATGAGCATGACTGAGTTCCAATAAAACTTTATTTATAAAAACAGGCAGCAGGCCAGATTTAGCCCCAGGCTGCAGTTTGTTGACCCTGATCCATCCTCATGTCTGTTCATGTTAAACGGCAGGACAGGGGGCGGTGAATATCCTAAATGTCCAACCCAGGGAAACTGCTAAATAAGCTAAGTCGCTTAGAGCTGATGCCTTCGCTCCACCACACTTATCAAGTGCCTGACGCGTCAGACACGTCTCTGAGTGTCGGCGAGAAGGCAAGGAGCAAGTCGGCCAGGCGCGCTGTGCCAACGGGTATCCCGACAACCACGGGAGTTAGTGGTAACAAGGAAAACCCTCACGATGCTCTGAGAAAAGCAAGTAAAATAAGCTAAGTCGCTTAGAGCTGATGCCTTCGCTCCACCACACTTATCAAGTGCCTGACGCGTCAGACACGTCTCTGAGTGTCGGCGAGAAGGCAAGGAGCAAGTCGGCCAGGCGCGCTGTGCCAACGGGTATCCCGACAACCACGGGAGTTAGTGGTAACAAGGAAAACCCTCACGATGCTCTGAGAAAAGCAAGTACAAAACTATGTTAAAAAAAAAAAAAAACCAATAAAACCAAACAATGTTTTTTTTCAAAAACACACTCAGGGGAAAAGAGCACGGGAAAGAAATATCAAAATGTGACTAGTGTTCACCTTCGGCTGGCTCCACGACCCCTTCTCTCTAATCTCCCTCTTTTCTCCTTTTTTTGAATAATCACACACCACTTTTGCAACGAAACAGGCCTTCCTGGTGAGTTTAAAAGGGGACACTTGTCTTGATTTTAAGCTAAGGTCTGTGTCCCTCCTGCTTCCATCGGCCACTTCCGGCACTGGCCCCCAAGGCTTTCGGGAGGCTCACGCCTGGATGGGGTTCGCTGTCCAGGGAGCGCTGGAGCGGTCAGCACCTGGGACAGAGCCCAGAGGGCGGGGGGCGGGGTGGGTGGGGGGAGCCTCTGCTTTTCCTCCCTCCTGGAGTCCAGATGAGATACTCAGGCAACACCTGTCAGAGCAAACGACGGAAGCAGGAAAGAGCTGCCCCCTGAGCGGCTGATGCAGAGGGAACTAGCCCTGTGACCTGGCAGGGGGGAGAGGCAGTCTGATCGCTGGTAAGAAGCGAAAACAAATACCGCACAGATCCCTTTACCCACATCATCAGCTTGGGGGAGACTCGCAAACATGCCAACACCAGTCACAGCAACATCTGCTCCTAACCGCTTCTCCTCCGGCATGTTCGGAGTGCGTCAGCTGGCGTCTGCCCCAAGAGAAAATCCGATATTTTTAACGCGCTCTTAAATCAGATGGCGTCCTTGGTGAGTACTTTCTTACGTGTTTGGTCTTTAAGGCCAAAAGCAGGACGTGCACCTTTAAGGGACACGGCCCTCAGCAGGGGCTGTGGGATCGAGAGGTCTCACGACGAAGAGCTCGCCATTCACACAACACTTTCCAGTGTTCCTTTTCGGTTAGCATGTACTTATCTCCCCGATATAAGCTCTAGTGTTGTTTTTTAAATTCCACTGTGTCCACTTCTTCACTGGTAACTTTTCTCTCTTTTCCAAATATTTTTTAAGAAGAGTTTCCTTGTAAAAGAAAAATGTGTGATTAAAAAAAAAAGAATACATCTCTCTCTCTGCTCTAACTCTCCCACTTGTAAAGTATTTTAAGCAAGTTAACTACGGATAAAATTCCCACTCTTTAAAAAAATGCTTCTGTTTTTAGGTTCTGCTCCAAACACCAGCAGCCCCTTCCAACAGCCGGCGGGGAACGCACTCTGCCACGGTGGCCGGTGGGGGGACACCTCAACTTCCCGACCTGGCCTCGGGGCGCTGTCTCACCCCCCTCCATCCTCTGCTCAGCGAGGGCCGCTTGGGGCCGTCCCTGTCCCAGGGGTGGGGTCGCCGGAGAAGAAGCCTTCGGTTAGAACCTGCTGGTGCTGCAGAGGCGGCAGGCTGGTGGCCTTCGGGGTGGACCACTGGGTCCCACGCGGAGGAGGGAACTCTCCGACCTTCCACACCTTCTTCCAAAGTCAAGCTCAAGGCGAGTTTTATCGTGAGCTCCCCTGTAGGGCCTGAGTGGCTGAGTGCCTCCTTCAGACCAGGGCAGTGCTTTTCAGGTCTTGAAAACGAGCCATCCCGAGCTCACGGAGCCCCAGCTCAGGCTGTGGCTCTTCATTATCGCCCGCCCACGAGGCCCTGACGCGGGCGCCCCCGTGCGTAAACCTTGCACGGCTCCCCTCCGCCAGTCCAAACCGAGACACAGGGTGCCAACGGCCCTCTGCCTGGGCCCGTGCCACCGCGTGGAGCCCACGCCCAGCCCTGCCCCGCCGCTCGCCGGTCCCTGCCCACATTCCGTGTTCCCAGCTCCTGTGCTTGCGCGCTCAGCATGACTGCCTGCCTCCCTCAGTCACTCGCTCGGTCGACCGAGACTTGCTACGTGTCTGCTACATGCCAGGCACTGTTCTAGGAGCTAGACATCAGCAACGAACACGACAGACGAAAATCCTGGCCTGGAGGATCTTACGTTCAAGTGCAGGAAGACAGGCAAATAAACGAACGTGTGGGATCCACAGTGCGCCAGGTGATGATGAATGAATGCTGCGGGGGGTGGGGGGGAGGCGGGCGGAGGCTGGCGCGGTGGGCGGGCAAGGCCTCCCTGGAGGGCTGGCATGGGAGCAGAACCCTGCAGGGGACAGGAAGCATTCCAGGCAGCGGCGGCGGCGAGCGCAAAGGCCCCGGGGCAGGAACGTGCCGGTGTGTTCGGTGTGTTCGGGTGGGACGGAAGGGAGTGGGGGAAACGCACGTGGGCCCTGTGGGTCACTGTAGGGACACTGGCTTCGAGATCGGAGCCTGGAGGCCTCCGACCGGAGGAGGGACACACGTCGCGCACTGTGGCCTCCGGCTGCTGGGAACAAACTGTAAGGGGCGTGGGGGAAAGAGACGCCAGGTAGGAAAGCACCGCAGGGATCCGGGCGGGAGACAAGAGCGGCTTCCACCAGAGGCGCGACCGGATTCGCTGGCGGGTTAGACGTGGGGGGCGGGGGGAGGGGACACACAGAGCAGAGGCAGAGATGACTGATGGCTTTGGCCTAGCATGAAGTGGCCACTTGTCGAGTCGATGAAGGCGACGGGGACAGCAGGGCGTGGTGAGGCTGGGAGCGAAGACCCCTTCTCTGTGGGACGGACGGCGACCAGGCTCTCGGCCCCAAAAGGAGCACGGTCTCCTCCTAGCAGCCTTCCTCAGGCCAAGCTAAAAGGACTTACCCCCCGAGTGCTGGCCCCTCCTGCCCTCCCGCCCCCCATCACACACACACACGCCCCACTTCTCGGCACCAGTTACCCGAATCCACACACCGGTCCCCTGCGTGACCCGAGGCCGGTTCATCTTACATCACCTGGAAACACTCGTATACAGTAGGCACTCAGTAAATACTTTCAGTAACATGCTGTAGAGAACTGTGCCTGGGATGCTTTTCTAATTGTCTAACAACTCAACAACGTTTTTCAAAACACCTACAAATGATGCTTGGCACTAACGAAACGTTAGGTGCTAATCGCTCCATCTGAAGGGTGCTATCTGGAGACGCCGACCTGGCCCCGATCGAGCCCGACCTGCCCCCAATCGATCCCGACCGGCCTCCAATCGATCCCGACTGGCCTCCAATCAATCGAGGGCTCGCACGGCCAGGACCCGCCTGTGGAAAGGTGCGTGAGGACGCGGGCGAGGAGGCGGGCGAGGAGGCGGGCGAGGAGGCGGACTCACCTTGCCGGACCTCACATCCCAGGCTTTGATTTCCGAGCTGAAGCCGCCGCACACAAAAAGGCTCGGGTCTTTCGGGTGAAATTTCAACGTCGTGACTCTAAAGTTGCTTTGACCACTGAAGAGCTGGGTCCCTACGACATAGAAAGAGAAGAGAGGGTTAGAAAACACTCAGACTGCAAAATAAATATCTGAAAACGAACACGCCACCTGGAAGGGCTGCATGGACCAACGCAGCCCACCTGGGCCCCAGGTGGCCAGTGGAGGCTTTCCGGAAACACAGCGGCTCCACTCTGAGGCCACCCCCACCCTCAATTAGCTGGCCCCACCCCCAGGATTAAACCTGATGGCTGGGTCCACGAATGCCAGCCTTTGTGTGCTCCGTGAACGTTACGTGGATCAGCTCGAGCCCCACGACCACTCCAAACCAGGTTTAAGTGAGAAACCGCCAGGCCCGGGGAGGCGAGGCGGCGTCTCCAAGGCTGCAGTTAATGCAGTAAGTTCCTCACTGGGGACTGTGGAGGTCAAAAGCCAGGTGCTCCAAAGTGACTCTTTCTAATCAGCGGTCTCACAATCGCGCCCTTAGAATAACCCACGAACGGTGTGCTGCAGAGCCTGGCAGGTGGGGGTGGCGCGATGCTCTGGGCGACAAACAGTGTGGCATCACGGCGGCCCGAGCCCCAGGATGCACGGGTGGTGTGGACCACCGGGGTCTCACAGGTTCTACAGGACGCAAGACCGTCCTCTCCGTATCTGTCACGAAACTGCTATCAGGCACTTCTGTGCGCTGCGCCCATCGTGCATACGGTGTGGACGACGTCTGGTCTGCCACCGGGATCTTTTAGAGGTAAGCGACAGAGTGGGTCAGACTCGGGGCCCGGAGCCTGGTCTGTCGGCTGCAAAGCCAACGCTCCTACCCGTACGCGGTGCCACCTCACATCCCAGAGCCCTGGACGTCGTCTTGTATCCAGTTCAACCCACTGAGACTGCAGGAGGAGCCAGGCCGGCCACAGGAGCTGTTCTCACCGCCGAGAGTCTGAGTGCTGCCCTGCGTGTGTCCCAGGGCCAGGCCACCAGGCCAAGTCCCCGCTCACACACCAAGCGTGGCACCTGCTGCACACCACGCCAACCAGCAGCACAAAGGGGCTTCCCGCAGCGATGCCGGCAGCAATGGGCTCTCCCAGCTCACGAGGGACACCCTTCACTGCCTCTGGCCCCAGGAGGCTCCTCCACTGGACCAAGGCAGCGGGCAGTCAGGGACACAAGAAGCTGGTGGCCAAGAGGGAGGCCAATGCGACCCCAAGACCTGAAGCAGCATTTCCTCTTATGGGAACCCAGGAAGCGCACTTGCTCATTCAATCCGGAAAGCACTTTCTGAAGGCTGCTCTGCTTTGCAGTCAGGACGCCCCGCACGCGCTTAGTGAAGCCCTCTCTCTACTAGCTCACCAGGTAAGGACCCGAACACCATCGATCAGAAGGTGCCCTTGAGAGTTACAGCGGAGCCTTTATAAACCCAGTTGGCCTGGATCCGTGGTCTCCGAACGTGTCTGACAGCACAGCCCACCAATGAGAAACCCAAGCACACAGGTGTTTGCTATTGGTTATACACCGTGCTACTGTACCAACTTATTACAAACATTACGACAAATACCCAAAGCAGAGCGTTTTAAAGGATAAGGAGAAAATAACTCATATTTAAAAGTATATCTTAATCTGCCATTTACTAAGAGTATCGACAAACCTCTTTGAAATCGAATTAAGTCAAATGTCGTAATATTGTTAATGAGAGCACGGGATTGGCTATGCTTCCATATTTTTCAAACACAGGGAACTTTTTGTGATTTAGTGATTTGAAAGGAGCCCAGGTACAGTGTGAGTTTATTCACAGAAGTCCATCCAAGCCACAAAGTCCCTCCTAGAGACACACAGACCCCTATGGAAGAGGTCCTCCCCCCACCCCCCCGCCCCACCGCCCAGCAGCAAGGGAGACATTCCCCGCTAACCCCCGCGCTGCTGCAAGGTGTGAACGTGTAGCTAGTAAAGCCCACGCCCCCCACTGTCACGTAATGGCTCCCACAGCCCATCACGGGGATCACGGCACACTCATATTTTTAACGACGCCATTCCAAATCCACTGAAATTTCCATTTAAAGGATTTTAAAGTAGATTAGAAAAACACTGTTCCCAAGTTAAGGGTGCAGATATTAGAGCTTTTAATAGGTGGCACATTTATATCGTGTCTGGCAACAAAACGTACAGAACGATGGGAACAATTAAAAACAGCTGTTTTCAAAATGTTCTTTCCTTAGAACAAATTTTTTGGAAAGCAGCTACTCTCCCGCTCCTTGTTAAAGCGTCACCATTACCTTAATGAAATGTGCTGACTGTTTCTCTAGGATCTTCTAGGGACCTATGATTGGCAGTCGCCTGTCATTGGAGGAAATTTCGGAAACACTTGACTTTTTGCCCAACAAGCCCCTTAACTAATTTGCAACGAAATGCAGCGCACTAATATTCTCGCGGTCAGCCCAGGCCATCGCGCCGCCGTGACATCACTTCATGTCACCCATGTGACATGGCCGCGTCACGCACTTCACCCTAAGGTGACGAGACAGCACACAACCACCTGACTGTCCAGCCCGCAGGCCGCAGTTGAGGCAGGTGAGGCTCTCTGCCAGGCAGCACGTGAAGAAGCCATTTAAAACTGGAATGGGAAACAGCCCTCTGTGGCGAGGTGACCCAGGCTCGTCTTGACACCCGTTCCCGAATCCTGAATCGACGTG